CTGTTCAGGTGTTAAGTGCATACGAGAGGCCTTTCTCACAATCCCACCACCTTTACAGGTGCATTTGGTCGGGACATGGGAGAGGGCCTACTCTGTTGCTGCTCCTAGGCCTTGGAGCTCCCTCCCACAGGAGGCCAGGCTGGCCCCATCTTCGCTGTCCTTCCACAAGCAGGTGAAGAACTTTCACTTCAAGCAGGTTTTCCCTCAGTGACTGGCTGTCTGAGTGAGGTTTTTAAACAGACTGCTGTGCCTTTCTGCTTTGAATGTGTTTTTGATGTTGCTTTTGTTTTCTGCTTGGCATTTACCATTTAACACTTTGTTTATTGTTTTGTTTACTATTTGATATTGTTTTTGTGTACCATTTGGTACCATTTTGGCAAATACCATGTGGAATTTGCTTGATCCTTTCTAGTACTTGTATACTCACTGTTCTTGGCTTTAAATATTCTGCTTTAGTGATGTGAGCCATCTGGGGTTCTTTTTAAGGAGAAAAGTGGGGTAAAAATATTTTAAATAAATAAAAAAATGTAAAATAAACAGGGTGATCCATAAGAAAGTGATGAGGAAAAACAGAACATTTTCCTCTGGCTAGAAATGCAGACATTACTTTAGCTCTACTCTCAGCTTTCCTTTGCATCATAATAATCTATCTCTCCCCACCCCCACCCCCGCCGCCAGTAAAGCAACAAAAGCAGTTCCACAGTGCACTTTTACCTCCCGCACTCCTCATTTTTGTCAGAGGCTTTGAGTTTAGTCATGTGTTCCTATCATTGAGACAAAACAATCGGAAGGTAAAGCAATACTTCTGGGCCTGCCCTGCTTCCTTTCTTTGAAACAGGTTAAAAGACTGCCATCCCTCCAAAGCTGTTCCCCATGGCTCTGTGTGATAGGCTGAAACCAGATCTCCTAAGCAGTTGAGAAATCTCTCTCTTCAAAAAATAAGAGAGAGGGTGGGGGTAGGGGAAAAGAAAAGGAATAGGCCAAGTTAACAAAGGTGGAGGGAGGGCAGAGAGGGAGAGAGGGAGGGAAGGAGGGACAGACAGACAGACAGATAGACAGACAGACAGACAGACAGACAGACAGACAGACAGAAAGAAAGAAAGAAAGAAAGAAAGAAAGAAAGAAAGAAAGAAAGAAAGCCTTTCTCCCTCTCCCGCCACTGCAATATCTGCTTCCAAAACTTCCTTCATCTGTTGAACTTTTGCTAGTTGAACCCCAGAAAAGCCCAGAGACCCTTGTACAAAAGCACCTCTGTGTGTCATGTTCCTTGCTCGGGTGCTCGCTTACAAGTCCTCAGGAGTTTGCTTTGCAAACACACAGAACGTTTATATAGTATCAGTTGTGCCATACGCCAAGGTTTGGGAAAACATATGTCAGCAGGGGGAGCAAATGCTGAACTTCCTGACAAAATGAGAATTAACAGCAGAATGTGTTAGCAGAAAGCAGCTTAACATAGCCCTTCCTTCTCAGTTGTCAAGGGGACTTTAGATATATTCCTTTCAAGAAAGAAGCCAATACAGAAGTTGTACAGAACTGGTTAATTCATAATAATTAGCCAAAAGCATGTTATTATTTCCCATGCAATTTGAATTTGATCTGCCTCTTGATGTGATCGAGTTCTGCAGCTGTGGTGCCGTTTTACTATGTATTACAAATGAGAGTCCTGCAACAAAACGTTGCAGTATGCATTGCTTCTGTTCCGAGTGCCACCCACCACATTCTGTTCCTCTCATCATGCTTTTCTATTTTGTTTCAGGATCCTGTACACCTCCCACCCCATTCCACCCCAATTATTCTGTTTTCATAAGACTGTTTGGGAGTTTCCGCTTCCACATTGTCAGCAATGCTGAATGCCAGCTACTTTGAAATGTTTTATTTCTTCACTATTTGCTAGGGTTTTGTCCTTGGAAACCTGAAAAAGTCTGCTCAGCGTCATCCTGGAAATGACCAATCCAGACAATGAGGTGGTTCATCTTATGCTTCTGATATCTGTGTTTCTTCCTCCCTCTGCTGTTTCCAGCTACCCCATTCCAGTCCCTACTCATCCAGAATCTGGGATTGTTCTGAGAGCTCCGTATCTTAGGTTTTTGAGGGACATCTCTAAATTCAGAGTTGCCCCTAATCGACTAATACCTGTCACTTGTGCATGACTGCTGCCATTTGGCTAGAGCTCCACAAGCCCAGAAAAGCAAATGGTTGGATTGGGTTGGTGTTTCTCTCTGTGTAAATCCCCTCTGGCTTTGTCCATTTGAGTTCTCTGAGCAACAGCAGGAAAGGCACAGGGGTATGGGAAGGCAGCACGTGGGCCTAAAGCAGGGTGCAGACTTTGGTTCATGAGGGTGGGTCCTTGCTTGGGTGGGTGGGGATGACCAGGGGTGGTGGTGGAAAGTGACAGGAAATGCGCTCTAATGGAGGTGGTTTTGATTGCAAGCATTCCATGATGTGTGGTGTGGGAGAGCGGTTAACTATGGATAGGGGGCCCAGCGTGCCCTGGAGACTGAGAAGGCAGTGGAGTCTGTGGACAATGTTGATGTCATGTCTGTGGGATGCTTGTCACTGTGTGAACTGTTTGTCTTATGCCACAGGACACCACCACCCCCGGACTCTTATCACTCTGCACCCCTAATTTCAGTTAGATCCTTTATTTTACAGTGAAACATTTTGCGTTGGGACAGTCTATTTTTTAAAAATGTCTTATTTTCCAATGGTGGAGGGGGAGAGGCTGGCTTTTCTCCTTGTCCCTCAACTAATTGTTCTGCCCAGCAATCTTCCAGTTTATATATATATATATCTGAAAGTGCATGTGGGGACCAAACTGGGAAACCTATGTGTTGTTCAGCCCACTATCCAACAGTTTCCTTTTCTGAGCTAGCCGAGATAATCTTTGGGTACTAATGGAGACTCCCTGGTTAGTTGTGTTGGGAGACTTTACCATCCAAACTGAGATTGCTCATGATTTCATGGACCATGGTACCCATGCCTCTGTCCTTTTCCATATCTGGCCCCACTCATTCATAGTGGCACAGACCTAGGTTTCTGTGTTAGGTACTTGTTAGTGATCTACAAATGATCTGCCATAAGACAGATCATCATCTGGTGAATTTTAGACATCGGGATTCAAAGCTTTTGCAGAGGTGAGGAACCAAACATTGAAGACAAGCTCTGGGAGGATAATGGATCCAAATGGTTATCTCATGGGTCTTGAGGATTTTCTTGCTACCATGGCTGCAGTTTTGATGAAAGCTCATCTTTGAAATGAGTCAATGGCTTGGATGGTTCATAGAATTGCTACACAATGTCAGAGGCAGGTAATCAGAAGACTTTTATTCAGCTTCCTGGGATTTCTTCTTTACACACACACACGCACACACACTCCCTACAGGTCATAGAGAGGAGGTTGTGTGAAAAAAAACCTGCATGTTCCAAAGCAGGAGAGATAAAAACAACTTCCTCTTCTTGCCCTGGAAGACCAGTATAGAAAGCTAGAATGTCTAAGTAGGATGCAGAAGATCAACATTCAACATCAGACAAGTAGACCATGCAGAACTTCTTATTGATGAGAAACAATGGATTCCAGAGATTATCATTAGATTGGCTTAATTAGTCAATAAGGGTGAAAGATGTATTATGATACATTAAAGTGCTTAAGAAACTATGAGAGACATGATGTAAGAACGCAGTTCATTTCATAAGGTCAGCCTTGTGGAAAGTATAAAAAAAAGAAAACCTATAAAAGAGATCCAGTGTGTTAACACGGCATGCCACATGGATTTGATGACTAGCTGTTAGACTGATGTGTGTAGTTAACACATAGTGGCAACATGTCAGACAAGGAAAAGATAACATTTGGAAACACAAGATGGTGACTGTTTTACAGTTTAGAGTAGCATTTTTATCTAATAGTGAACCAATCTTCGCTTTTTTTAGTTGGCCCTGATGGACTTCTTAAAATCTACCACGTTTGTTTAAGTGTTTCTAAGGGAACATTGACAGCAAAAACACAGACATTAGAGAGCACTGAGCACTGCACATCAGTGAACTATTCTCTTTCAGAAATCTTCCCTTGGGACAAACTGCTGCATAGTCAGATTTGGTGTTCTAGTCTGTGACTGACAGCTTTCACACCTTTATAAAACCAGCTGGAAGAAATTCATTCCTAAATACCATTTCCCAATCTTTAGCAGCATGATTTAATAAATTGCTCTATAAAAGTAACAGACTTAGATATGGTTGCACCTGTGTGTACACCTCATTATTGCACTGTGCCATCGCTCATTAACCTCAACACTGTATGTACAGTCATTTTCACTAAAGTGAACACAACTGATACAATTGGTTTACAATCTCACAAGAATATGAACACCTTGACAACAAAAAGTCCAACTACTGCAGCAATTTAAACTCTTTGGCATAAAGATGTTGGAATATGAGACTGGAAATATAACCAACATGTATTATGTTGTTAGATTACTTGAAAATATGATAGATATTACTGACTTATCAGACAAATATTTAGCCACATGCAATCTTCCTCCCATTCTTCTTTTATTTCAGTGGAGGTCTGTTTGGTAGCCTTGTTAGTCTGTTAATGGCAAAACCAAAACAACCCTAAAACAACAGCAACAACAACAACCCAGAAGCAAAAGTACTGCGGCACCTTCAGGACGGACAGATGTATTTCAGTGTGAGCTTTCATGGCTAATATCTACTTTAGACACAGAAAGCATCTGCAAGTTTGTGTCTGAAGAAGAGCACTATAAACCACAGCAGTTTCCACTGAAATAAATGGGTCAGCCTTAAAAGTGGCACCGTGCTTTCTATCTTTTCCTTTTCTTTCTGTTATCCTTTTTTTAAAAAAAAAAAAGTTGGTAGGCGGTTTGCATTTGGGCCATGGGAATGAACTGCTGCTAGGGAAAGCTCCAGTGAACTAGAGCTATGCTCCCTTTTTTTAGTCCTCCGGCCGTGGCAAAGGTATAGAAAGTTTATGCATCTTTGCTTACCCCACAGCTTTCCAGAGTGATCTTCAGACTCACTGTTGGGCCTTTCAGGTGCTAAACTCTCCCTTCCTGAACTGGCATCATCTGTAATCAGAGAAAGAAAGAAGGACTGTTTAAAGCCGTCACAAGGTGGTGTTTGGACTGGGATGCAAGCTGAAGGCTGTGCGAAGGCCCTGCTGCCTTTGGAATGCACCCCTTCATTCCATTCCAACAGACTGAATATGTTTTGCTGCTTGGCCAGTTTAGTTTCTTTCCTGGTCTTTAACTTTTTCAACTAGCTACTAACATGATGGGAGATTAATTAATGCTTCCATTAATAGAGAACCAAAGCCCTTTTGTTTATATTTATGGGCTGGCGTTCCCAAGGAGGAGATGGAACTGTTTCACACTCCTTGCAAATGGAGGCATAAATCAAAATTATAGCTGAAAAGGCAGCAGAGATTTCTGGGAACCAGTCATGCTGGAGGCAACACTTCACAGCTTCCAGAGAAATCCAGGAAGTGCAAATGTATTTTATTTATTTTGAAACTGACACAGTGCCTGGCTTTAAGATTTTGCTTATTTATGCCAGGGATGGGGTCAACATGAAACTGTGAAGGCAACAATGAGAAGGAAGGAGAAGACGGCTACTGATGTTAAATGCAGAACTTGGTTAAGTCATACAAGAACAAAATAAATGTGCTTCTAGCACAACCTTAGTTATGTTTAGAGTGATAGACTAGGAGAGAGCCAGAGTCAGCCTTGAACCACACTAGAAGACCAGGGCACCATCCGCATGCCTTAACCTGAACAACTGCACAGGACTGATTGTTATTAATATGACATTGGGAAATGGACACAGTTTTATACAGTGGGGTCTTGACTTGAGAACTTAATCCGTATTGGAAGGCGGTTCTCAAGTCAAAAAGTTCTCAAGTCAAATCTGCATTTCCCATAGGAATGCATTGAAAACCATTTGATCCGTATCTGCTCTTTTCCGTCCATAGAAACTAATGGGAAGCATACTTGGATACATATGCAACAAATAATGTCATGCCAGACAATTTAGCTACTATATCCTTGATCTCAAAGAGGGCTTGGCTGGAGAAATACGGAAGCAGAAAAGTAACTGTGCTCCTTGGCTAGGATTCCAGTTGACAGTAAAGGGTTTCCTGTCATTGCTCTTTCTAGAGAATGCAGGAAGGGGTTATTTTCTGAGGGTGCTGGACATTTGTTATAAGAATTTGAACACCACTCAGAGGACTTGTGTTTCTAACGTTACCTAAGGCAAGCCTTCACTATGTGGGGTTTGCATTTCTGCAAGCATGCATGTGATGGCTTCCTTTTTTTTTTTAAATTGCTCCATGAGACATGTATGTGCTACATCAGCTCTTTGAAATCATGAAGAATTTCTGTGGAACAATTAAAATGTGTTTATTTCTAATATTTAAATGGGAAAGTGTCATTTCTGGGCTGTAAGACTATGTCAGTCAATCAATCTTTACTGTATGGTCACCTACTTGATAAAATGCATTAACAACAATTTAAAATAGCATGGATGTAACTGAAAAATGAAAAATATGTTATAACAGAGGTAAGAATTGTCTTATATATTCTTTTTGCAGAAACAAACTTGGCCACTAGTCCTATATTGGCCTATATAGTTCTACAGTATATATGAATATCAGCAAAAATACTTTAGATACCAATCCAAGGTCCTGCCTGGGAAATCTTTCATAACAGGGTTTCAGTTCAGGAAAGTGTCCCTCTGTTGCACTGGCTGCTCCTGCAGAAATGCACTACACACAATGGACTTAGGATATCATCACAGCAGGACTGGCGATCACACACACCCCGGTGATATTGGCATACCAACGTGGCAATGTACAGTATCTTCCCACAGGGAAAAAATTATTACTCTACCAACGTATTGATGTATTGGGCACGAAAAATAAAATAAAAAATAATGTGCACACCGCAGAAATGGTAGCCACTTCGATTCTGAAAAGAAGTGGGGCAGGTTGTGCACACAGGCAATCCTGGCAAGGAATGCATTGATACAACTAAGATACAAAATAACACAACCCTTCTGGCAACGGGAAAATGTTCCACAGTTACACTACTAGCCAGGAAAATGTCTTCGTGTTGACTCTGTGTGATATAACCAGGAAAACAAAAATACCAACAGAACTGGTGGATAACTATACTGTATAACATTTCCCTTGTGTGACCAGAACCATATACAGTCAATTGGTCTCCTTGTTTTGCCTCGCACTGTCTCTCTATTTGATACATCTGCAAAGAGGAGCTTAGTAAGGCACATAGCACATAGCTATGCTTCTATAGGCTCTTCATGCAATCAACAGCCCTAATAGGAACCCTTCTTGATCAGATGCAAAACTCAGGCACAAATTGCTGCAAGTCCACGGGATGCAATTTGTCATGGATGGCACCAGCACATGTGGTCTTGCTCTATCCTCCACATATTGCTTTGTACAGTGGTACCTCGCTAGACGACAATCCCACTGTACGACAAAACCGCATGACAACTTTTTGCGATCGCTATAGCGATTCGCAAAACAGTCATTCCTATGAGGAAATTCCGCTTGACGATGATTTGGTCCGTACTTCGTGGACCGTTTATTCGCAAGACGACGATTTTTTCCGGCGATTGTTTGCTTCCTAAAATGACTGCCCTGTAAATTTTCCGGACCCATGCTTCGCAGGGCAGCCATTTTAACAGCTGATCGGCGCTCGCAAAATGGCTTCCCTATGGGCGATCTTCGCTGGACAATGAGGTACTGTCCCCATTGGAACGCATTAAACAGGTTTCAATGCATTCCAATGGGGAAAGGCTTTTTGCATGATGACGATTTCGCTTAATGGTGATTTTCCCGGAACAGATTATCGTCATCATGCAGGGCACCACTGTATGTGAAAGCAAAGTACAAACAGGGCTATGATGCGCTTCAGATTTGATATATAACATATGTTTGGATTTAGGAAATAAACACTAAAACCTCTTTTACCAGTTAAAAAGCAGTAATGTATTTGAGTCAGAGTTGTTACTCAAGAACTTTTAAATGCAGCTAATAATTTTGTTTGGGATGCCATCCTCATACACAATGCTGAAATTTACTACAAATTCCAGTTCACACCAGTTATTGGACCTCTCTCACCTCCTCCATGAAAGTGATTGGCCTGATAGAAGAGAACAAGGTAAAGCACCACCAGGATGGCCTACTTGGGTGTAGGAGACAGTGTGTGGTTGTGACTAGAGCCTTGGGCTTGGCAAATACCACTTCCAATCCCCACTCAGCCCCAGAGGCTCCAGGGCCAACCTAGGCCAATCTCTGCTCTCATTGTAATTTAACCATCAGGGAATAAAACCTGCCCAAATCATCAGCCACTAATTGTGCGCGTCAGACATTGCCATATAATGCCATGGTCTTCCTTTTGTAATTAATTTTTTAAAAAGTCTCTCTTCAGATGCTTCTGGATTTTCCCCTGCAAGTTACCAACAAATCAAGAGCAAGAAAATAACAACAGATAGATTAGAAACTATGTGGACAAATTTACAACTATTCATTTCAAATAGTGAAGGATTTTGTCAGTTTTTAGAACCAAACTCTGAAACCTTAGACCGATCCCTCTAGAACTTAATCCTCTCTAGATACTCACAATGCCTTCCTGCAGATTTACAACAGAGGTTTTGTCAATTAGAACTTAATCCGACCCAACCTGGTACATACCAAGACTGGCCTCCCTTCTTTGTCTCCAGCCTCATGTTACAGTATGTCCACTGGAGTGGGGGGCCCCCTCCTGCCCTGACTCCACTCATGCACACCAGCTAATTGGCATTCTCAGCCACACTTGACAGGCTGCCAAGCCTTTCATGTGAACCAAATTGCTATGAATGCACCAGATCCTTTGAAGATGCATCTCTGCTCGTTATCCAGCCAAATCCTCAAACCGTGAACCTGCCTATGAGACTCAGGAAAATGTAACTCCTACCAAAAAAAAAAGTTTGAGAGGGAGTGGTGGAATTAAATATGGGGAGAACGTAGCTCTGCTAAACAGCACGGTTCTTTAAAAAAAAAGTCTTGAAAGGCATCAGCCTATCAAGGAGAAAAATACGTTGTAACAGGCGGGGCTACAGGGAGAAAGATGTGGCTTTACTTTTTCTGTAAGCAACAGAAAAGGGACTGTTCGCAATATATTATATATCTTTATACACTGTCTTTCTACATCACAGTGCAGACTGATTTTAAAAAGTATTTAAAACAGTAAGAAAATAGGGCTGGTTTAAGCGAAGCTTCTCATAAAATGCAAGTGTCTCACTTGCACACCTATATGACTATGAATATGTGTGCATCTCAAATGGTTGCATGAGCAATTCAAATGTACTGGATTGGACTAAGTCATGGGAACAATCTTTTATAGACAAAAATGGATGTACAATCAATGGAATTCTCTGTGTATATACATAAAGCAAGGCCATTTACTTGGAATGCCCAGGTTTTTCCAGATGTAGCAGCTTACAGTTACCAGGAATACAGTATTGACTGAAAGTAAATGCCATACTGTTCTGCTAGCAGCATCATACATATTCATAGCTGGAGAAATGAACACACTGTAGAGCTCATTCAGATAATTACAGGAACATAAAATTATACCAATAATCATCCACATAAGCTGACTGGTTTACCCTGATAAAATACAATACGGTTTCCTGGATTCTAGAACACCTGTGATTCAGTACATAGACACAGTTTTGTCTGCCTGCCTGCCTGTTTACTGTATCTGACCTCAAGTGCAAGATAGTTCCTTCCATTGTTTGTTTTTTCACCTGAAAAACCCAGCAGTCTGACTCAGGTGGCAATCCCATACCTACTCATCTGGGCATAACCTCAATTAAACTTTGGTCTGAATTGTACCATCCCTACCCTGACGTAGTGCTCCCTCCCTCCCTATCCCAGGGTGGATGGGGGTTCATAGGAAGAGGTCTTATAATAAAGAATAAAGACCCAGAAGAAGGAATAGGAGAAAAGGAAAATGCCATTCAGTGGGTTGTGCCATTAATCCATCTAGCCCATTACTGTCAA